ATCTAGTCCAGAACTTGGATTCTGAGGTTGGTAGTAGCAGTAACATTTGGTCTCCTGACTGTAACTTGCATAATTGGACCACTTTGTTATAGTCATGTTGCTATGTGTGTTGTGCTTTCTGGGTGTTTTCTCTTGTGAACTCTCCAAGAGTCTTCAACTTGTCCTGAATCTGTATAACCTACATCACTGTGTTCATCCTGGTGCTTACTCTTCCCATTTCCTGGAAGTACACAATCTTTCTTGTCTGCCTCCTGTATAACAGTTGAAATGGGGAGAACACTGTGGATGCCTGGGCCACCGTGTGGATGGTAAACGAGAGAGTGGGGATCAAGTGGTTGCAGCGTTGGGGTTTGGTGGTCAAACTTTTTCCAACATGTTAAATGTTCTTGTTAAACTGCTTGACCAGTCCATTAGCCTGGAAGTGACACACTGACATCTTTAAGGATTTGGCTTTCTGTGGGCCTCAGCTTCATCAGGTGTTGGGTTAAATTTGTCTTTGGTTTTTCAATGATGATTTCAGGATCTCCACCCCAGTAGATACTTTTGAGTTCACTAGCAATGACAGCTCTCCTTGCTGAATAGATGGGACTGACCTGGGGGGTTCTGGCCCAAGATTCATGTTCTGTTGTGGCCTTCTCACCTGGATTCACCATATTTATGCCTATTTACTCGAGGGCTGTGTCTACATTGGCATCCCTTTCCGGAAAAGGGATGCTAATGAGACGCTTCGGAATTGCAAATCCGCGGGGGATTTAAATATCCCCCGCGGCATTTGCATTTACATGGCGGCCACTTTTTTCCGGCTCGGGGTTTTTGCCGGAGAAGAGCGCCAGTCTAGACGCGATTTTCCGGAAAATAAGCCCTTTTCCGGAAGATCCCTTATTCCTTGAAAGTAGGAATAAGGGATCTTCCGGAAAAGGGTTTATTTTCCGGAAAATCGCGTCTAGACTGGCGCTTTTCTCCGGAAAAACCCCGAGCCGGAAAAAAGCAGCAGCCATGTAAATGCAAATGACGCGGGGGATATTTAAATCCCCTGCGGAATTTGCAATTCCGACTGGTCTCATTAGCATCCCTTTTCCGGAAAGGGGTGCCAATGTAGACACAACCCTAGTCTTTGGGTATGTCTGCAGTTGGGAGGATTCTTGGGCAGCAGGGGCCTTTTTTCTACCCCTGCCACTGGCATTCTAGGCATAGGGGACAGTCCTTTCCCACCTCCAGGTGGATGTCCAGCCTATAAAACACCAGAGCCCTCTGTCAACAATATTTCCCCCAAGTGACTCCATATGGGTCTGTATGCACCCCACTCTGGACTTTCTGAGTACTATGAGTTACATTCTTACTTCTCCTATTCTAGGATCATTCATTGCTCAGTGTGCCTCACCTGTTTGTTCAATGTGGGGCCACTGGTTCAACTGTTGAGAGTCCAGTAATTTGCTATCCCCACTGGAAAGCTACTCATAAACTTTGCATAATGTGGGTTTTTTTCCTGCATTCTTCTACAAAGTCCCTCTCATTGGAAAGCATGTCTAGATTCGATAGGCAGTGGCAAGCTTCGGTGGTCTCAGTTGGACGCAGGTAACAGATCCTTCACCCATGGGAATGCTCTTTCTTTTGGGTTTTCATCTTCCTTTGATTCTCCCCTTCTTCCCAGGCTTCCCCCTCAGCCACTGAAGCTGTCTCCTACCTTTTTGAGTTTTCTGGTCCAGCTCCACTTTCTCCAAGGAGATATCTTGCGATTCTTTGACCTCTTCTTTGAGGACCTTTCAGTAATATCCAAGTATAAAGAAGTAGGTCAGGTCTTTTGCTACTGCAGCCTGTAATGTTTCCATGTGTACATCTCTCATTGGGTAGGGTCATATGTCCTCATGGATACACTGGAGGTAGATAATGTCTTCAGCAGTATTCCTGCTAAAATTTTCCATCCATGAACAGAGTGAGTTTTGTCTTGTGCACCAGTTCATGTGTGCTTGTTTGGACATGTGCCACTGTAGAACCCAAGTCAACAAATATAATTTTTATATATAATATGTAAAAAATTCCAGTATGTGCCAGACTAGACTGATAACCTTTTCTTCTTGTAAAACCAAACCTAAAATAAACTGTCAGATAAGATCTGAACCCACTTTCTGCTGCCCTGTGTCAGACAAGCCCTTCATAAGGCCAAAAGGAATTTTGTTCTCAGAGGGGCTGAGCTGGCAGAGTTAAGTGGTCATGAATTTGTGGGTGGGACAGACAGTCCATCCCAGATATTGTTGGAAATAAATATTAGCTCCTTGAGATTCACAGAGATATATACTATTTTCTCTGCCCACCCAAATTGTTTCCCTGGATTCCCTCCCTCTCTTTCAGTTAACTTTCAGAAACTAGCCCTTCAACGAGCTGGGAACAGGTTTTCCCCTGCTGTTTGCTTAATGACACTGGTGGGGTCCAAAGAGTCAGAAGCGAGGTCTGTTCCTGGGCAGGGCAGTGAAGAGCTAGGTGCTACTGCTGGCTGGGCAGTGCCTGTGGTGGTGCGGGGGACGGGCAAGGGCAGGATCCCAGAGTTCACCAGCACAGCATGACTCCTGCCTCTTCTCTCATCTGCATACAAAGGGAGCCAGAGCTGCCGCTTCTTCCCACTGGACTAATATCTCCTCTCCCAGTCCCCACCTGTCACCCTCCTCCCAAACCAAGCCATGTGCATATCTTGCTGGGGTGCCTTCCCCCCACCACTCCTGGCTCTCTTTCAGGAGGAGAGAAGTGCAGTGAGTGCAGCTTAGGGCTGATCCTGGAGCTGGAACCAGGGCTGTGGTAAGGCTACCCCAGTAGGGACAGCTTCACTAAAGCCTGAACTTCAGCTGCAGCACAGCGGGGCAACTGCCTGCCACTTGGCCCTGCCAGCTGTGTTGCATGGCTGCCTGGGGAGTAGGTAGGCACAGCTCGGCAAAGGAGGTGGTGGGCAGAGAATTTTTTGGTGCACGCCTTAGAGGGAACTCTGGCCCTCAGCTTTACCTACTGTCCCCACCAGCCTCTGCCAGACTAAGGTCTGGCTACAGAGTGAATTTCAGTCCCTGTGCAGACATTCCATCTGTTGATATCATAGCCATCATCTTCTGTTCCCTATTTCAAAGCCTGTGATCAGCTCTTCAGGCATGCCCATAATTATGGTCCATGAATGGGCAGGCCTTTGTAAAAATGTTCTTTCTGACCAAATACAATACAGTTCCTGGTAGGAGGATTTGTTTTTTTCATTAGGTTCGCTTTAAGGGAGGATGTTCCCTTGGTTAAGATTGTTTGGCTGGGCTAGGCAGGGCTCTCTTGATTCTTGGAGGCGGACTTCCAGGTTCTTTTCATCTTTGTCTGTGTTCATGCCCTCCTCCCTCATTAAGGATGTGCATTTGAGTTCCCCAAATTTCCCACTGATGTTTGCTTATTGGTGCTCGGGGATATGTAAGACTGGCTTTTGGAGTTTCAGCTTCTAAATCAAGATGTACATGAAGTACGTGGGGGAAAGACATATGTGAGGAACTGAAATAATAAACTAGTCGTGTCGGCACATTTTTAGGCAAAGAGATCAGAAAAGTAAACTTCTGGCTGAATCTATGTCAGAATGGCTTTATAAGGTGTCCTATTTTTAGATTATACCTATTGGTGTCTGACTTGACTTGCTAAAATGAAGAACCTCTATGTTCACATCTAAAGTACTTGCAAGAGGGCAACAATAGCACTTAAGCTTTTTTGAATGTGATTCATGAAAATATTTGTTTTATTCAGTTGCAATTTTGTCTGAAGATGCTGCTGCACTAAAGGAACCTAAGAAACATTAAGACTGTGTCTAGACTGCAAGCCTCTTTCAAAAGAGGCTTTTTCAAAAGATACTTTTGAAAGAGCATCTATACTACAACCAGTACTTTCAAAAAAGCATGCTGCTTTATCAAAAGAGCACCTCAGTGGTCTGGATGCGCTCTTTCGAAAAAGCAGTTTACATTACATAGTGCCTTTTTTTGAAAGAGCACTTTCAAAAAAAGGCATTATTCCTCATAAATTGAGGTTTTCCGTGGTCAAAAAACTGCTGCATTCTTTCGATTTACTTTCAAAAGAATGCGGCAGCAGTCTAGACACACCCTAAGAGTTCTCTCTCTCACAGTTTCAAAGAAAATATCCCTGACGGATTACTGTAGTAGAAAATGGGACTGATACATGCACCATTAAAGTTGCATTTCAAACTGTTTGCAGCATTATATAGTTGTCAATACCGAAGAATAGATTTCAAAATTGTTTTTTTTCCCTTTAGATAGGTTGGCCTTTTGTTCAATGTTTTACAAAAAGTGGGTAGCTCATGTAATAAACATACATGACAGACTACTTAGTCTTGTCAGTTGACAGCAAACTGGAGATCTGTGGATACTTCTTTAATAAATCATTTTTTGGTACACAAGTGTTAACACTAACTCTAACCTATAATACAATCTAAATGTGCTTACCTTCCAACAGTAAAGTTGTTTGAGATCCTAAACTTCAGTAGCTAAAGAAGCTATGTCAGAGAATATACTCAGCTGCTGTGGCTTAATCTTTCGTTTTAATTCACCTTTGTTTTAGCTGTAAGTGTTTACAGTATGTGTGAATTCACAACATTTGCATTAACTATTGGCTTATATTTGCCAAGGTAATGAAAAATGAGAAAGTGTCTCAAAAATCAGTGCTATTAATTGTGCTCTCTAGCTAAAAGGAATATAAAAACAAAAGTGATTTTGTTGCACAATAGACAGTTGGTATACATGTGCAGAAATTAAATGATACAGACACATTAGTTTCACAGTGAAAAGTAATGGATATCATCAATAGGCTTTAGTCTACAATTGTATAGTATGAAAGTGTTCCCAAGCAATACATAGGGATATAGACTATATATACAAGTTGTTAACCCAGGAGTAGGGTTACTGGGAGATTTTCAGATTCAAAGGACAGTCACATTTAAAATGTTAAAACTTAACTTTTTATTTTAAAATCTTGTCTTAAAGGATTTGCTGTGAGCCTCCAAGTGATTCTGTCAAATCCTAAAGCTGTATTTAAACGACGTGGGTCTCAACCAGGAATGCAAGAATCTGATTTTCTGAAACAGATAACAACAGTGGAGGAACTGGAACCAAAAGCAAACAATTGCACAAAGGTACTAAATCCACTACTGTTGGAGAGTACTTACAGCTATCTTTATAGTTTATCAAATATGGCACTAATTAACCTTCTGTTTTTTAGGTTCTTGTATGGCACACTCGAACAGAAAAGGTAGATCTAGGTAATGAACCAAAATATCAACTAGATACAGTTAAAATTGAAGTATGATCTAGAGATGCAACTCAGACATAGGAAATGGATGTGGCTGAAGATGCCTACCTGACTTCAGTCAATTAAGAATTCAAGCATTGTACAGATCTACCACTCTGCAGCAGCCTGTACTAGTCATTTGATGGACTTCTGTGCAAACAAAAACTTGTCAGATAAGCAAATCTGATGGTCTGAAACATAACATCTTGTGTTGCATGCACTTCTCAGCTCAGCATCATTGAACTGAACTATAATAATTTGTTTTAAGAGTTTCCACATATTAATGCAAATTTAAGACTGAAACAACTGCAGTGCAACCTTTTCAAAAGCATTATTTATCTAACTTGACAAAAATATTATAAACTGTTTTTAAATTGCAAAATGTTGGTCACAAAAAAAATGGTTAAAAGCGCCTTCCACATTTAAATGCATTTTTCTTGTATTAAACAGCAACTTTCTTGAAGTCACAGTGATCAGGTAGATGATACAGTATTAAATAAAAACCACACAATGGTTTATGGATTTATTATTTTAATATAGGGAAATAACATTTTTATCAATACGAGGCACCATTAAATGTAAACACAATTACTGTCAAACCTGGATATATCTGCAAGGACAAAGTATTCATATATGGTGAGTTACCCTGTATGCATATTGTGCAATACGTTCTCTTTATTAGTACAATGTATACACGTATGGAACCAAATTGCATATTTTGTTACAGGAAACTCAAATGGATTAAATATTCATGTTTTGAAAGAATAAACTGAACATGTGGAACTACAGTAACATCCAGGTTTATCTTGCTTTCACTAACCACGTTCCCTGTGTTAAGCACACCATAATAACATCACAGTGAAATGAATGATAAAACAAAGTATGTTTGATACACTAAAAACATTGTTCAGTGATACATTTACATTCTATTTGTATGATTAAACATTTGTTCAGAGAGTATCTTCTACAAGGATTACTGGGTTATTTGGGGGCGAGGTTTATATATTTAGAGATATTACTAACATGATAGCTACATCCCTTATATGCCAATGTTTGATCTATAATTGAGAAAAAATGAGTATGCAATTGGTAAAGCAGCTTCTAAAAGATATGGTTTAAGAAACCATATGCACTGTAATGTGAAAAAGCTGCCAATGATATATGAATGTATTCTCAATCTGCTTTCCACCACATTGAATCAATCAATATAGGCCACAATACGGTCAGTTAGATAACTTCTTAATGTGAACAATTGGGGGAAAAAGAAAAAATAAATGCATTTGAGCAAGGAATGTCAAGTGACTGTTATGCATGAAATTTCTGTTGAAATTTTCATTTCCATAACTGTGTACTGAGAGTCTGACCCGAAGAGCTTCCAGTCCATCCTGCCACTGTATTGGGGGGCTGGCCAAACCCCATCATATTGCTGGAACTATTGAGATTCATTCCAGCCATTTGCTGATTCATCTGTGAAATGCACACATGATTCCAGTTAGTACTGATGTAAGAACTCACACAAACTTTTAATCAGCTTCAAGCAGTATATGTATTTCTAAACCAAATAAAGTGTATGTTAGGGAACAACATGGTGGATTGATTTAAATCACTAATTTAGACAAGCAAGCAGGAAACCTTGATTAACTAATTGATTTTAGTATTTTGCATTTGTACTTTCCTGAAGAAAGACTGATACTTATTAGTTGATAAATATTACAACATGTTATTTGCAGCTAGATGTAGCCTTATGATAAATATGGTGCTTTTTTGGCTAACCAGCAAGATACGGTGTTTCTATACATATTTTAAAATTATACAGCTTGTCACCTTTAGATTCTTAAATTTTTACATCTTTATGTTAGAAAATGGTAAATGATGTATTAACTAGATGAATAATATTTTACTCATTTAGATTCAATTAAGTATACAACAACAGATTTAAATTTCTTAAGGAAATCAAACTACCTTAAAAGTACTGACTACAAATTAGCCAGGTTCCTCTGGGCCCCAGTAGTGCTCAACTCCCTGCTCTGCCCCGGGCCCCAGTTCATTTCCACCCACACTTTCTGAGTCAATAATTCTGAAACAAAGGAAATGCTATCAGTAGTTACTAAATTGAACTGATTTTGGTCACCATCTCCTTTGGGGTTTTACAATTAGTAGATCTCATTCTCTATCACCTAACTTAATTCATAGACTGGAAGAGGAAACAAACTTTCCTGCCTTTTCAACCCTCAACTGGTTTTTACCTTTGAGTAAACTAATCATTAAAATAAACTAGTGGAATAAACTTAAAAAAGAATAAAACAAATATTGTCACTACAGTCAAAAAGATGATTCAGAACATTAAAGTCTGCTTCCAGGTGTTTGGCCAATCAATAGCAAGGAGTGTGACAATCATGTAGCTTAATACTATATTTGATCACTAAAATATTTGTAACTGGAGAGGAAAATTAAAATAATTACTTTGCTGTTTATTCCTATAACACACATGAAATATACTTGGATGGGTTAATAGAGATTTAATTATCTTAATTCCTAAAGTTCTGTTCAGCTCTGCAACTGAATTTTTTTTTTTTAAGGTAAGCAGCATATTTGTTAATATGACTAAACTAAAATGTATCAGAAAGTAATGGCTGCCACTAGTAACAAAATATATAACACTTTTAAAAAGTATTAAAGGTGAAGTAACAGTTTTTAAAAAAGTTCAGTCTTAACCTAAGATTTTTTCCCCAAATATCTAACTGATGTGTTTCTCTTTAAATATTAATATTTTCCTTTCAGTTTTACAAATAAGAGTGCATACTAGAAGTTGACTTTCTGCACAAATACATAGTATAAGAGCATATGTAGGTATCAAATGGTATTATTAGCAGTAACTTAATATTGCACAGTTTGTGGACAGAATGCGTATCATCAGCTCTCTGAGCAAAAAAAAGTGAGGTTTGCTTTTTGGATATCTGTAGTGGTATGTCTTACTCTCCAGTTAAAAAAAACAAAGTTAACTTATTCTACATAATAAAAATAGATGAGCATTTTGTCAACGTTTTAGTCTATAGGTTAATCTGTACTGCATTTTGTAATTTTCATATTTCAGTTATTATTGGTTTGATTTTCATATATGAATTAGAAGAGTCAGGACATTAATAGAGTAATATTGTATCATTATAAATGCTAAAGAGATATATTTACAGTAACTGCTAAATGAATCTTAGGAGGGTATCTGCATGTTAGTCTTTATCTGCAAAATCAGCAAGGAGTCCTGTGGCACCTTAAAGACAAACAGATTCATTTGGGCATAAGTTTTGTGGGTAAACCACTCTGACAAAGTGGTTTTTACCCATGTAAGCTTATGCCCAAATAAATCTGTTAGTTAAAGGTGCCACAGGGCTCCTTGTTTTATTAAATGAATGTTAAACTTCTTTCTGCAAAATCCTTCACAGGAGGATTTTAAAATTACAGAAGTGAGAGCGTACAATCCTGTGCATCTCACCATCATATATCAAAACAGTCTCTAAACTGTTGTGTTCCATTCAAGTCACTTATCCAGCAACTCCTACTTGTTAATTTAAAATCTTTTCTCCAAAAGCTGCTTTGTTCTCCGAACACTGCAAATAAATATAGTTTTATATGGTAAATATGGTTTGTGCATATGATTTGTGCAGATTTATTCTGAAATTATATTTTTTAAATTTTCTTTAGAATGTTTTGGTAGGAAAAAGCTATTTTTAAATTGATTCTTGAAAGTTTTTGTGAATTACTTTGGTAGAATGTAAGCAGTATTCTTACCACTTAAAATTACACTTAAAAAAAATACAAAAGTTACATGAAAGACAGCTGGCTGTTCCTTTTTAATTTGCTAAACTAATTCACAAAAAAGAGTGAAGATTGAGTATTTCAACCTTTTTATGAACTGTCTACCTCTCATTTGCTGATCAAGCAAAGTGCAGTATCATTCTTGGATGTGCTTTATGATTTAGAGAGAGAGAACACTGACTTTCACGCTTTCATTAACTATTACAAAATGAATTTGTTCAACAAGCTGTTTGCAATCCTGAAATTAAGGCTCTCTTATATTTACATACAGAAGGCCTATGATTTTTCAATTATATTTTATGTTAATTTATTAGCAGAATGTTTGTGCAGAATTGGTGTATGCCTCAAAATCTACAAGTTTTTGTGGGACAGTCTTCTGAGCTTGTTTTTTTAAGAAAATAATGTAATTCTAAGACTAGACTTACAAGCAAAAATATTTTACAGAGTGGATAAAATCAATTTTAACAAATATGATTTAAAATTTTTAATATTAAAATCCTTGCATTACCTGATCATAATTTCAAATTTAATTTTAAATATTTTATGTCAAGGCTTAAACTTAATATGATTGGTTAAAATCATTTAAATTAAAATTAATGATTATACTATCCATGTTTAGCCCATTAAAGTTCTAATGAAAAAATAGTGTGTAAATATTAAATTAACATTTCTCTTAAAATATTTGCTTTTATAATACTGGGGGGAGAGGGGAAAGGGAGGTGTTGTGCCTGCCCTCGCTATGCTCACCAACCCCCCTCTCTGGCAGCTTTTGTAGCCAGAGGGTGTGAGAGCATGATGACTGTACTGGGTATATAGCCATGAGGGCAGGGAACTGGACTCAATGACCTCTCGAGGTTCCTTCCAGTTCTAGTGTTCTATGATTCTGATGTCATTCTGTCATCCAGCATGAAAAACTTTATTTAGGGGTACACACTCCTCAAGGGACATGGAGGAATATCTGGTGGGGAGGTGGGGGGAGGAGAGGCAGTGTGTGCACCTGGCAGGGCCTGGGCTCACCTCTACCGGAGCTGTGAAGGGAGTGTCACCCAGCTCTGCCTTCATCCCTTCTCTAGCCACATCCCCAGTTGTGACCCCAGTTTTGCTGATACCCTCTGCTGCAGAATATTTAGCTGTGGTATAGACTCATAAAATGAATGCTGAGGTCAGCTCTGGCTAGAGTCTGTACTCCTTGCAGCCACGAGGAGTGAGGGAAGCCAATGGGAGCATTTGTTCCCATCAGCATCCCGCAGTGAGGACAGCGCCAAGCTCTGCTTATGGTTAGCTGATTCCAGTCACGTATTCTATGTAACTGGAGTTGCATACCTTAAAGCTGACCTTCCAGGTCTGATGTACACCTAGTCTTTAGGCTTCCGTTTACATGTCACATTTGTAATACTATGCAGACTGCTTGGACACAGAAGAAAATTTCAAATCACAGTATCTATAACATTTGTAGCTACAGCTTTCTAGTATGTATAGCTCAACTTCTAGTATGTGGAAAACAAATGGCTTTATTCATAAAACAGTAGCTTTTATCCAATAAATCCTTACCTGAGAGATGTTCCATTGAGCTTGTTGATTTTGTTGCATGCCATATTTATTTTGTACAGTAACCATTTGTCCTACTATTCCTCCTTGGGTTCCAACAACATTTTGAGGAAGTCCCATCACACCACTTTGTGTAGTGCCAGTGAAACCGTTGGGCATGCCCATGCCCACCATCATTCCTGTGGCCTGTCCTATGACAGGCACTGATTGTCCCATCATATTTCCCATCATTCCAGCAGCTGCAGGCACAGGTACTCCCATGGCTGGAAAACTTTGAAAAGGAGTTGATGGTTGTGTGGTAAATGGCATGGAAGAAGATCCCATAAACATACCTGCATTTTGGAAGGGGGAAGGAATAGAAAGAAAGAAAAATATTTTGTACTGATGTTTTCCCCCCTGAAGTTTGGACCAGTAAAAGTCATTTTTTTAAGATAATTTGTAGAGCTGATTCTGTCCACACTGTTGTGCACAAAATCAGTATCTGGCAAAATGGAGAAAGTGATTAAAAAGAATGTTGTAATGACAAGAAATGGACAGCAAAAATAACAGTTTAACTGCTAAAGTTGAACACTGCAGCTGCAGAGCCAAATTTTTATCTCAGTCACACTACTGAAAATTACTGGATTCTCACTGGTTTAATTAGACCAAAATATGACTCTTTGTAATGATTTGGGCAGTCTGCTGTTCAGATACTGAGGAATCTCATTTCATAATCAAATAATGAATGTTCAAACAACATAAATTATAGCAAGAAATAAAAAAATCAGGTTTATCAGTATATTTGGTGAGAGTTTAAAACATGTCAACAGCTATAACCTCTAATAAAATCAGTCTGAATGCTTCATTTATTTTAAGTAACAGAGGGGTAGCCATGTTAGTCTGAATCTGCAAAAGTGATGAGGAGTCCTGTAGCACCTTATAGACTAACAGATTTATTGAAGCATAAGCTTTTGTGGGCAAAGACCCACTTCATCAGATGCTTGTAGTACTCCTTGTCTCATTTATTTTAGGTTTTTACCCATGAAAATGATAAGAACAAACTAATCTCCTGTCCAACATAAAATAAAGCACATTTTCCTTACCTATATTCAAGTGGATTAAAGTCATTATATTCTAAATACTGTTTAAAAACAATCACTTTGGAAACAGATTTTAAAAATTAATTACCTGGAGCACTTTGCTGCTGCATGGTCCCTGTGCCATACAGTGATAAGATGGAATCTTTGGAGAGTTGTTTCTTTGCTGACTCTTCTGATTTTGTGGTTTGTTCAGTGAACAGATCAAGATCCCCAGATGCAGCAGATAAGGTAGCAGCTGTTGGATTAGTGGAAGTGCTCTGGAAAATAAAGATCAAAACAGACTATTCAATGAAACCACCTATAGAAATTATGTCTGATATAGAGCTGTTCATTCTCGCTCAAACTAATTGTAAAGCAGTTTAGTTATTAAGTTGTAAATGTATCAGTATTTTAGATTTTTTAATATTACTACAAAGAAACCCAACACTTGCCAATGTGTATCATAAGCAAGGAGGATCAATTCAGGTTAACACACAAACAGCAAAAATTACCTTGGGCGAATTGTGCTTAAATACATAGGTTACACAACTCTTGCTGTCACTAAATTTTCATGTGTGGATGGCATATGTCATAAAATGAAGTTAAAATGATGGAAAATAAGAACATAAGAACGGCCATACTGGGTCAGACCAAAGGTCTATCAAACCCAGTATCCCGTATGCTGACAGTGGCCAATGCCAGATACCCCAGAGGGAGTGACCAGAAGAGGGAATCTTGAAGTATTCCCTTTCCTGTCACCCATTCCCAGCCCCTGAAAGAGGCTAAGGTCACTATTTCTACCCAGCCTGGCAAATAAGCCATTGATGGACTTAACTTCCATGAATGTATCTAGTTCTTTCTTGAACCCTTTTAAAGTCATTGTCTTCACAACATCCTCTGACAAGGAGTTCCATAGGCCAGCCATGAGCTGTGTGAAGAAAAACTTCCTTTTGTTTGTTTTAAAGCTGCCACCTATTAATTTCATTTGGTGACCCCTAGTTCTTATGTTATGGGAACAAGTAAATTACTTTTCCTTATACACTTTCTCCACACCACTCAATTTATAAAACTCTTATCATACCCTCAACTTTAGTTTCCTCTTTTCTAAGCTGAAAAGTCCAAGTCTTTTTAATCTCTCTTCATATGGGACCTGTTTCAAACCCCTAATCATTTGTGTTTCCCTTTTCTCAATGCCAATATCTCTTTTTTGAGATAAGGTGGCCACACCTGTACGCAGTATTCAAGATGTTGGCATACCATGGTTTTAGAGAGAGGCAATAAGATATTCTGTCTTATTCTCTATCCCTTTTTTAATGATTCCCAACATTGTTTGCTTTTTTGACTGCCACTGCACATTGAGTGGGTGTTTTCAGAGAAATATTCACGACTCCAAGATCTCTCTCTCGAGTAGTTATAGCTAAATCAGTCGCCCTCTTATTGTATATATAGTTGGGATTGTTTTTTCCAATGTACTCTTATTGTATATATAGTTGGGACTGTTTTTTCCAATGTACATTACATTTACCAACATTAAATTTCATTTGCCATTTTGTTGCCCAATCACTTAGTTTGGTGAGATATTTTTGATGCTCTTCACAGTCTGCTTTGGTCTTAACTATCTTGAGCCGTTTAGTATCATCTGCAAATTTTGCTACCTCCCCGTTTACCCCTTTCTCCAGATCATTTCCAAATAGGTTGAATAGGATTGGTCCCAGTACGACCTCTTGGGGGACACTACTAGTTACCTCTCTCCATTCTGAAAACTGACCATTTATTCCTACCGTTTGTTTCATGTCTTTTAACTAGTTATCAAACCATGAGAGGACCTTCCCTCTTACCCCATGACCAGGGCCGGCCTTAAGCCGATTCAGCTGAATCAGGCCCCACACCTAAGGGGGCCCCACGCCCTATACCCAGAAGTCGGCTCCCTCAGCTCGGCTCCCCACCCTTACCTGCGCACGCTGCTGGCTGCTTCTGCCGCCATGCAGGTGAGCAGGGAGATGCCCAGGCGTGACGTGACGTCACGCCCGGGATTTTGAAACTGAAAAACTGGCGGCGCACGTGGTTTGGAGTCCGGCCCCAAAGAAGGCAGAAGGTAGGGGAGGAGGAAAACTACGGAGAGGTGTGGGAGAGGCAGAGGCTTGTGTGGAGGGGGAAGAAAGGAGAAGGCACCAAGAGACAGGGATGCAGGAGAGGCAAATGCCAGGGGGCCAAGTGCAGACAATGAGGAAAAGGGCAGGAGGGGAGGTGTCAGTGGGAGGGGGTACAGGGTGATGCTGGGAGAGGAGGAGAGGGGAAGGTGCTGGGAGAAGGCTTGAAAGGAGGGGTGGGCATGCGAAAGGTGGGAATGGAGCAAGTCGTGCAAGGGCACGGGGGCATGAGGGCAGAAAGTGGTGAGGGGATGGGCATCAGGGAAAAAGGAGGCAGGGGCAGTGAGGGAAGGGGGGAGGCACAAGGAGGGTGCAGGGCTAAGGGAAAGTGCAGTTGCCAGGGGATTCTGGGCATGAAGCAGAAGGGCAGATACCTGCAGGGGAGGGACCAGTACCAGAGAGAGGCAGGCAGGGCAGGTGTGTAGAGGGAGGTGTTAGAAGAGGGGTAGCTCACATGATCAGAGTGGGGCTACTGGAGGAGTGGGCACGGGGGAGAATAGGGCTGGTGGAGGGAGGCAGGTCGCAGGAGGGCTGAGGGCAGTGAGAAGGGCAGGAGTCAGGACAGCAGAGGAGGGTGAGGAGTTTGAGGGCAGCAGGCAGCAGGGGAGATGATGGAGGAAGGAGTGGAGACATGGCAGCAGAGAGAAAAGGGAAAGGTTTATAAAATATTTATTGATAACTTGGTATGCTGCCTCTGGCCAGTTTGTTTGCGCCCCATGGTGCAGTTTGGGTTTATGTGGGGATCAACACATGACCAGCGAGTGGGAGCCAAAACAAAAGTAGTCAGTTTAATAATCTTTTGTTGATATGTTTTAGTAGTTAAATTCTTGGACTGTCATTGCTCATGAAAAATGCTGTCACATGGGTAGAAATCGGGTAAATATTGCATTTTATTATTATCAGCAGAACTGACTTAAATGGGGTCTGTGTGTTGTGTAGTCTTGCCTTAATCTTTGTATTCATGCCTGTCAGTGTGAGAGAAGCTATTTGTATATATTGCTTGCATATGCAGCCACACTTAAGTTGAGGCCCTCAGCATGTTCTGTAAGTTTCAGTGCGGCCCCTGGGGCTTCCAAAGTTGAGTAGCCCTA